TGTGTGTGTGTGTGTGTGTGTGTGTGTGTGTGTGTGTGTGTGTGTGTATGAAAAACGTAAAGCGCTTTACAGAACCTGAAGAGGTTAAAAAAGGCTATATATGCGAGAGTGGATCATTTATTTACACTTAAAGCAGTCTGTCTGCTGTCTGTTAGCAGAACTAGTTCATGTGAGAAACGTGCTGCATAACAGAATGTGTTATACACCCAATAAACACACACGTTAGAAGAAAAGCTGAATGGAGAACAAATAGCACAGAACAAAAAACAATAAGTTTATAGCAGGTCCATAAACACTTTTTAACTGAGGGTTTTCTTTAATGATGACTTATTTTTGAATCAGACAGTTTCACAGCCCAGCTMTAATTAACCTCATTCTGCAACACAAGTATTATATGAATCATTACTGCTAACACTAACAGAGAGCAGATCGACTCAGGTTTAAGTGTAAATAACCAGACTTATGAGTCAATAACCGTCTGAGACAAAAGCGATGACAGTTCTCTTATTTAGCTGAACCTGGATGCTGCATGTTTAGTTTCTGTTAAGTTGTTCTGATTGTTTTTAAAGCTGATTGGTCCCTAAGCTATAATGTACTGTGTTCACCACAAAACAACAACCTGAGCAGGTCTCTTCAGTCTTTCTCTGACACGGAGTTCTGTGAAGTCACTAATCACTGTTTTATTTTATTGTATTTTATTTTTTATGTAGTGTCTGTTATGTAGTTAATCTCATCAAGAGATAATGCAACAAAAATGTAAATCAAATTAATCTGAAATGCGTTAATGTCAAAATAATCCAGATTTTAAGCTGTTCGATTCACACCAAACATTCAGAAGTTTCAGGTCTGGACACGGCGTTTACTGGATAAATCTCTGTTCCACTGAGATGTGGGAGACTAAAGGTTGAGCAAAGAGACCCAGAACGCATCACGCATGGAGTGAGCCGCTCTGATTGGGACAAAAATAAAACTCAACGCAGAACATAATACATCTCTTGTGTTAATGTCAGCAAATCACCGTCTGGGTCATTAACCGCTTCGGTTTGACGCTGTGATAACAGACCTTGTGAGTGCGAAGAAGTGTTGTGGTTGCAGTGCTCTCCTCCGTTGGTGTGGGCCGAGTTCCAGAGACCTGACAGTTTGTGAGCTGACAGGAAGGAACTCGGGTCCCAGTCCACAGCGCTTTGCTCCGGGTAACCATTCCCACAGCTTTGGGACTTACAGGAGGAAGAGTGTGACAATGGTACCTGAATGTAAACGGAAGAAAGAGGGAGAAAAAAAACAATTAGTTGATCATTTTGCTGTTATAGGCTTGTATGTTGGCATTTAAAGTAAATAACAGGAGTTTAACAAGTTGATTTTAAGAATATATTTTAAACAATGTTGTGATTAATTACAGGGCAAGGTTTTTATTAAATATTCAGCATTTTATATGCAGTATTTATACAAAAATCAAACAAGAAAGTAAACTCGATCTTAGCTTATGCCTTAAATATGCAGCAGAAACAACTTCAACTCACATCTATTTGCACATACAGACACAAAGGACCGATTTAGTAAGCCCCAAAGCTTTAAACAGTTTATCTTAATATAAAATATGACCCAAATTGGTCCCTTCATATCTACCGATGCGGGCTGCTCCTGCGAGCTCCGCCGCTCCTCCTCCTCCACGCTCTTACAGCAGCTCTGACAGATCCACAGAGGCACCTCTCCGAGCAGGGACTGGGACAGCGAGGGCACGGCGTCGGCCAGCTTTCGCCCCGGCGCCTCCCGCAGTAAGGCCTGGGAGAGCGCGGGCACGGCGTCGGCCAGCTTCGTCCCGTGGCCCACGGGGAGGCCGTTCACGGAGCCCGCTCCCCAGTCCTTGAACTCTCGGTGGCACAGGAGGCAGCAGGTGTGCATGGGCTGGACGGAGGAAGACAATGTTACAAATAAAGCAGCGACCTGGGATTTTGTAGGTTGCCTTTCAAGCAATTTGAAGCCGRTGTTAGGGAGTTGGTTCTACATGCAAATCTTTTAGGAGCATGTTAGCTTTTCTACAGGGCAACAGAACCACCTTACAGTCATCAGATTTAACTTTACCTTTCTTCTATACCTAACTTTAACCAGACTAGCATAGTTTTATTTTTGTGAGATCATACAGTCTCCATTGTCCATGCGTCTCAACACTTAAATATAAAAGAGGTGGCTTTCAAAGTCAATGCAAACAGTTTTTTTTCCAGAATAATTACACATAAAAACATCAAATATTATGGCCACACATTGCTAGTAAATTCACCAACATTCAGCCACTTTATCTGCTTGTTTGCAGCAGTGTTTCCTAGCTGCAGAAACAAATGGATGAAAAAAAAAAGGGGACAAATATTAACCCTCAGGTATTACGCACCAGTCGGATCTATTTTAATCATAATTCCTAAAATCACAAGTTTGTCTTACGGAGTTCAGCAGCCTGTAAGGGCTTTTTAATTTACAACAGCCAAAGGTTTAAAAACTGGTAAACAGACGACGTATCTAACAGCTGTGAGGTTTTCATTTGGATTACTTGTTTGTTATCTTYGAAGACACAAAAAGTACACTGAAAAATAGAAAACAGATGACTTATGGGGAAAAAACTGCACAATACTGGCACTGTGTAATCCCTTTATCCACCCTCAACAACCTCAGGAAGGGCACACACAGGTGGAATATGTCATATACACAGCATATATCTGAGATGACAATAAAGTCTAAAAAACAGCTGTAAACAAACACAAACTGCAGCTAATCCTTTCAGTATACAATGAGTAACAACAGGGTTGTAAGGTACAGTAAAATGCTGATAAATCTGTTATACAGGGAAACTGTCATACTTATAATCAAACTGGGTATGCATTTTGTAAAATGCAGAAAATGTGAATAATTTATTCAATCTACAATAACTCTTAGGCTGTAAATGTAAGTGGGTGGTTATATCTGCAGAGTATCTATTTATCATCAGCTGAAATTTTCAACAACACTGCCTCTGATTTATAAAGGCATCATTAGCTGCCAAGCACCTAAACTTTTTTGATATTAGCTCCTGTGCATGCTCTCATAATACATGTATAACATTCAACAATAAAATATTGCAAATACTTTGGTAACTAAAACAATAACCCGGCGTCGCTTTAGCAGCAGAGCTGTTTTAGCCACTAGCCTGAAGCTAGAACATCGGTGCTGACGGACTGACTGGGATGAAGCACGTTTGCACCACGCTAGCTGCCTGGTGGCTAACGCTGTTAGCTGGGCGGGCTGAGAGTTGTTACAGGCTGGAAACAGGACGACCTGTCCGGGGCGCAATGTCACCTGTCCGGTTCGAGAGATGGGCTGCAGYGCCCGTCGAGCTCGCACGCTGAGTTCGGCTCATTATTTATTTACCTGCACGTCAAACGCCGCGAAGCTCCAACGTCCACGGACAAGTCTGACATACTAGCTTTCAACTAAACCGAGCGTATTTTCACTACATATCGGTTGTTTGGATTACGTTGAAAATAACGACGCGATGCTCWAAATTAGCCGAATGGTGCGACAACATAGCGGAACTATCCGATGTTAAATGGTTCGCTTGTAGCTACCTGGTTCGCCCTGGTGTTGGCCAGTCTATCCAGCTCAGCATCTCCGCCGCCGCCGCCGCCAGCTGCATCGGGGCTCTTCGCTGCGCTCTGCTGTCCGGGCACCAGCTCCGGCTTCTGGACGGCCGCCTGCTGCTTGCTTTTCTTCCTCGCCATTGYGTCGGTGCTCGCGATGCGCTTTGGCCAAGTTTGCACCAGTTTCGAAGGTTCGACGGGCGCACTTTCGTTTCTTCTCGGACCCGAAAACGTTCTTTATCTCCTCCAGTGAAGACAACAGTCAATATGGCGGAGGACTGGCACACTCGGAGGTTCAGAGGTTAAAGATACTAGGGGCAAGGAGGCTTCACTCCGCGTCGAAGAGCGTCGTTGCTGCGTTGTTCAGGAAGTGAAGCTGTCCGCCGCCATGTTTGTTGAGGGCAAGACCTACCTTTCGCTTTTTCTTCTATTTTACATCGGGAAAATACTATTTTAAGACAAAAACCACTATTCATTTATTTACAGTATTGCATTGGCTTATTATTATACGTTAGTTTTATTATCACGGGGGTCACGTGTTGTACTGTTACGAACAATACCTGAAATAAGGGTTTTCCATGAGTTAGTTGACGAAGAAACGGGGAACAAACTCAACTGAACAGTAATAACGATGAAAGCATGTACAGCCACCTCAGCTAAGCTAAGTTTAGCTGCTTTCCTAATTGCATGTTGCATATAAAATTAAATAAAGTCTGTTTAACTGTAGAACATTTTGGGACAATCAGTCTGAAAATCAAAGATTTCACACAAAAAGATGTGCATATGGTTAATGGGATAATGAAAAAGTCAAGTGTAAGTGCACGTGATGATAAAATACATAAACATACAGCTGTTTGGTCCGCGTACTAGTTTTTTCTTTTATTTTATTACAGGCGAGGACTCAGGGAGGGGCGTGGTTTACGTAGTATTTTTGACCCCTTCCAACGCTTTCGGAAATGCTTAAACATATCAAGCTTTAATAAAAAGAAATGCAAAATAAAATCTAAAATGGTACAGTATAATAAATTAAAACCACTAACATCTTATTGCRCCATGTGAGACATTTTTATTTATTAAATTTTACTTTAAACTATCGATCGAAGTCTGTCATGCATTACGTAAGTGAAATGTCCGAGCCTACGTGCGGTACCTGAACGCAGCACTATTGTTAGCTCTGTGAGGATGTAGCGCACAGAAACAGCTCCGACCCAACCAGTAGTCTGCCGATGCTCGTTCCACTGTACTTTGTTTACCCGCAGTCATTTTAATTCTTAGATATTTTTTTGAAAGCGTTAAAAATATATAAGTAAAAAATGGAAGCTAATTTTTGCAACATCCAGGTGCTTCTTCGGGCAGCTGAGTTTCTGGAGAGGCGAGAGAGAGGTCAGTAAATTTGCTTCAACTCTCAGCCTACAACAAAAACAACAAGCCGCTTCACGAAGCCACCGCATAAACAGCCGGGAAATATAAAGCAGCGAGGCAGTTGTTTGCAGATTTACGCGGTTTATTGTTAGGGTGAGTGCTCAGTCTGCTCCATTTTTGCCTTTTGACTCAGTGACCTACATATTGTTCGCATCTTTGTACGCGAAGGCGCCAATCGGYGGCGATTTGAAAATGAACCCGGGCGGCGCCGAGCGCGTGAATGAAAGAGAACCTGCAAGAGAGGCTTTTCAGGGACAAATTACACCGCTGATGGAAATATGGAGACATTTTTTGTCCATTGTTATCTGACTGAACCATCTCACACTCAAAATACTACTTTAAACACAGTGAGTGGGTGATGGCGCCAAAACAACAACAACAACAGAAGTAAACATCCAGCTGATGACAGCTGTTTTCATCCTTATTTTCACTTCAGCACTACTAACTTAGTCTAAAGTTGTTGTAATTGTATTTGCATGTTTAAGGTTTATGAGAAAACATCATATTTAGGCTGTAAGCAGTGATCCAGTCTGTGTGATGTGTTTTTCTGTTTGCATATTTAAGGCTGTAAGCAGTGATTCAATGTGTTTTTCTGTTTGCAGAGGCAGAGCACGGGTATGCTTCAGTCCTGCCTTTCAGTCCAGGTAACTCTGACAAGAGGAACAAACAGAAGAGCAAGAAGATATCTGCTGGTGGCAATAGGTGAACACATTATGTAACAGATAACTGACGAGAGGGCGTGTCTGTTTTCATGAAGCTCCCTGTCAAACCTCGCCCCTCTGCTTGGTGAAGTGTTTTTTCAACACTAACCCATGTGTGTGTTTTGTTCTTGCCTGCAGGTCGGTTCACAACGAGCTGGAGAAAAACAGGTAATAATCAGCATTAATCCCCAACCGTATGTAATGTTAGCTCGGTGGTCAGGGCTGTTGTATTGTAATCCTGAGGCGTGGGTTGTGTCGGGAAGGGCTTTGCTGTAAAAAAAAAAAAAGCATCAGCCAAAAGCAAAACAAGTTATAGATTTACCCGTATTGGCTTTTCTTTGCTGATTCCTGTTTTTACAAATCAGGGCAGCAGATGATCAGTATATAACACTGATCACATATTTATTGAACTATTTCAATCTTGGGACAATATGCAGATTTTTCCATTAACTTAATGTTTACACAGCTGTTAAACTTAAACATGTAAATAGCAACACTTATACAGTATATAAATATATATTTACAGTGGTGGGTGGACAGCTAACCAAGAAGTTAGCTTCGCTAACTCATAGTCTGCTTAAAAACTATATAGTTTTAGTAATGCTAAACTGCTAAACATAAAAAAACTGCTAACAACTAATCACAGTCACTTGTTTGTGTCACGTATTTTTCTCTTCTAGCTGAAGACTGGTGGGACTGACAAACTTGTTGATGTTTGTTTGTTAGCAAAGCTGGCAAAACCTCATTTAGCGTAAGCTAAAGCCACACCCACCACTATATCTATAGCACAGAATAACCATTTTTTTAATGTTCATCCGTGCAATGGTTCATGAGATATTTTGCTAACAGTGTTGACAATTCTAAGTAATAATCTGGTGCACCTGTATGTGTTGTGAATGACTCTCATCTACAGCCACGTCACATTTGAGCATATCTGTAAAACTATGATGAAAGAACCTGCTGCAAGATCGCTTCATATTTTGGGGTGTTGTCAATAAAAGGAAAATCTAATTTCAGCATCCTGTGTTTGTTGTTGTTCCGTGCAGACGAGCTCAGCTGAGACATTACCTGGAACAGCTGAAGAAGCAGGTTCCTCTGCCGTCAGACTCTGTGAGGAACACCACGCTGAACCTGCTGAGAGAGGCTCAGCTTCACATAAAGGTACAGTCTTTGGTGTTTGACGCTGGGTTGTTTTGTTATTTTTACCGCTACCTGCCGCTCACTCGTCTGTCTGCTCGGGTTTCAGAACCTGCAGGAGCAGGACGAGCGAGCGGAGCGGCTGAAGGATCGCCTTCGCTGGGAGCAGAGAGAGCTGCGGGTTCGACTGGAGCAGCTGCAGAGGGGCACCGAGAGAATRAGGAACAATAGCCACGGGTCGACCATGTCCTCCGAGAGGTCGGACTCCGACAGAGGTGGGTGGGGCTGGGGGGTCTTCCCTCGGATTTGCAGCAGCGTTTTATGATAATGAAGTCCTTTAATAAGCAAGATCTCCTGTATGTACATGCTGAGTCTTTTTTGTATGTGTTTTGAAATCAAACTACTTCCTCATACTTGGTGGTTTCCACCGYTCATATTTCAAAGCATTTAATGGGAATAATGTCCCATGACTTTTAGTTTCTGTACCTTTTTAAACATTTT